ATACAAGCTTTTAGATAGCTTGCACACGAGGTTCTCACTTGAAACCTCAAAACCTTATGGCTGCTGCATATAGATTTCTTCATTCAAATCTCCGTGAAGAAAAGTTGTCTTCACATCCATCTGTTCAAGCTCTAAATTCATACTTGCTGCCAAGCCAAGTATGACTCAAATTGATGTCATCTTGACAGCTGGTGCAAAGATCTCGTCAAAATCAATTCCTTTCTTATGCTGAAAGCCTTTGACAACTAATCGAGCTTTGTGTTTTACCACTTGTCCATTTGCATCCTTCTTCAGCTTGAACACACATTTGTTTTTCAAAGCCTTTTTACCTTCTGGAAGTTTAACTATCTCATAAGTTTGATTTTTCTGCAGAGATTCCAACTCTTCCTGCATCGCAGCCATCCATTTTTCTTTATCCTTATGAGATATGGCTTCTTGAAAACTCTCTGGTTCTCCATCTTCTGTCAATAGAAGGTAATCAGATGATGAGTACATTTTTTATGGTATATGACCCCGTTCAGATCTACGAATGGGTAGAACCATCTGAGAAGAACTTCCAACATTGGTGTCTGCCAAAATGGGTTGTGGCTCCCCTTGCTCTGGCAAGATGGGTTGTTGCTCCCCTTGCTCTGCACTCTCTCTTGTCTCATCGTCTTCTTCTGGTACATCATCTTCATTGTTTCTCCAGAACAATTCTGGTGCTTCATCTGAAACTTGAGCACCCACATTTGACTTCTGAGACATCTTGGGCTTTTCGATATCTTCTATTGTCAAATTTTCTTGGAACACAACGTCCCTACTTCTGATCACCTTTTTCTCCTTTGGATCCCAAAATCTGTATCCAAACTCTTCATCTCCATAACCAATGAAAATGCATGGGATTGACCTCGCATCGAGCTTCTTCCTGAGCTATTTGGATACATGTGCATATGCTACACAACCAAATACTCTAAGATGTGAGTATGTCGGATCCTTACCAGTCCATATTCTCTCTGGAACTTCAAAATTTAATGGAACTGAAGGTGATCGGTTGATCAGATAACATGCGGTCTTGACAGCTTCTCCCCAAAATGGCTTTGGTAATTTAGCCATGTTCATCATGCTTCGGACACGCTCCATGATAGTCCGATTCATTCTTTCAGCAACACCGTTGTGCTGAGGGGTACGTGGTACTGACTTCTCATGTCGAACGCCATATGTCCTACAATATGCATCGAACTCCTTGGAAGTATACTCGCCTCCATTATCAGATCGGAGACATTTCAGCTTCTTTCATGTTTCACGTTCCACCATGACGTGAAATTCCTTGAAGTACTCAAACACCTGGTCCTTCGTATTTAGGAAATATACCCACACCTTTCGAGAAGCATCATCAATGAAAGTCAGAAAATATCCGCTTCCACCCAGTGATTCAACCTCCATGGGACCGCAAACATCAGAGTGTACCAAGCTTAACAACTCTGATCTCTTTATTGAACTTGTATTCAATGAGACTCTATGTTGCTTGCCAAACAGACAATGACTGCAAGAACCCATCGCCGCACTCTTATCAACCTTGATAAGATCCTTCTTCATCAGGGTAGTCAGCCCTTTCTCACTCATATAGCCGAGTCTCTGGTGCCATAGATCCTGGGAAACCTCCTCTGCAACATTGAGACTTT